ATAATCTCCGTAATAAAGCTAAGTTACAAACAATAAATTGTAAGACTAAAATATATGAAAAGTCGTTCCTACCTGACACAATTAAAATTTGGAATTCATTACCTGATAGTTTAGTATTATATAGTGAACAATGTTGTTTATTTAGTATTTGAGTTACACATGAATAATGTTGTTCGTATAGTGTTTGAGTGACACATGAACATTGTTGTTTATTTAGTATTTGAGTGACACATGAACACCGTTGTTTATTTAGTGTTTGAGTGACACATGAACACTGTTGTTTATTTAGTATTTGAGTTACACATGAACACTGTTGTTCATATAGTGTTTGAGTGACACATGAACAATGTTGTTCATATAGTGTTTGAGTTGCACATGAACATTGTTGTTTATTTAGTATTTGAGTTACACATGAATAATGTTGTTCATATAGTGTTTGAGTTGCACATGAACACTGTTGTTTATATAGTGTTTGGGTGACACATGAACACCGTTGTTTATTTAGTGTTTGAGTTACACATAAACGATATTGTTTATATAGTGTTTGAGTGACACATGAACACCGTTGTGTATTTAGTGTTTGAGTGACATATGAACACTGTTGTTCATATAGTGTTTGAGTGACACATGAACAATGTTGTTCATATAGTGTTTGAGTGACACATGAACATTGTTGTTTATTTAGTATTTGAGTTACACGTGAATAATGTTGTTCATATAGTGTTTGAGTTGCACATGGACACTTTTGTTTATATGTGTTTGAGTTGCACATGATCACCGTTGTTCATATAGTGTTTGAGTTACACATGAACAATGTTGTTCATATAGTGTTTGAGTTACACATGAACATTGTTGTTCATATAGTGTTTGTGTTACACATGCATATGAACACTGTTGTTCATATAGTGTTTGAGTTACACATGAACATTTTTGTTCACATAGTGTTTGAGTTACACATGTTCATTGTTGTTTATTTAGTATTTTTTGAGTGACACATGAACACTGTTGTTTATTTAGTATTTTTTTAGTTGCACATGAACATTGTTGTTTATATAGTGTTTGCGTTACACGCGAACACCGTTGTTTATATAGCGTCTGAGTTATACATGAACATTTTTGTTTATTTAATTACAAATATCGGGGCTCTCCGGGACGTGTCACTTAAAAACGTTTTTTTCCCAGTTGAGCAGCGTGACTCCATTATGTGTATGCCTCGTGTTCAGCACACCAGACAACTGGTGTAACAACCTTTCTTCAAAAAACAACAAGAGCTATTAACTAACTTGGCATTAATCAACACAATCACGTGACAGCATTTATATACTCTCGTGTTTAAAGTAAGTAGTAAGAAATGGGTCAGTGTGACGTACGACGCTCTGCTCTCATCCGCCGTTGGGTTGATGCCACGTTGAGATATTCAGCGATAGGTACAGACGAGGCGGCAGAGCGTTCCCATGCCGGCAGTGGAGACGACGATTTCCCTGGAGTTGTACTCGTTGTACATCCCACTTCCAAAATCCCTGCACGCGCTGACCTACTTACAGACACCTGCATACCTCTTTTGTCGACGCCGTAAAATAATCCATAATTGATGTACCATTGAATGCTGGAAGCATGTGCCTTATAACGAGGGTCGGAGACCACCTCGCAATAACGCCACACACGCAAGACAACCCGTCAGGCTGCGCTAAGAACTCCTGGCAGCTGTTATGGTGAGCCTGTGAAATGGCGCTACCGACGGCCCAGTAAACGCGATGGAGTTTAGGGGTCACCAGCCGTACACTGACCGCCAGCCGCCTCGCGCAACCTATGACGTCACCGCGCGCGCCGGTCATCGCCCTAACGGTATTGACATTATTGGAGTAGTGACCTTTATGCTAGAAGATGGAGTAATGGTTTAGGAGGAGGGCTGGTCGGCGCTGTAGTTTGTCTCATTTTGTTGGGATTGGGTGGGATATTCCGCCTTATCTGTTGAACAGGTGAGCGGTGTACGGGTTCGTTACTTCGAGACTTGCTGACTTGACAGTTTAGCTTAGAGCATGAGGTTAGGAGCACGCGGTATATATAGGTAAGTAAAACGGCCTCTTACTTCGTTCGCTGTATTTCGCGGCTAGCGTTTTATAACGCGGTCATGTCGTTACCGGTTTCATGGGTCGTTGTTCGTTTTAACACTTAATCTACACATTCGTATAGAACCCGTGTGATATATTGATAATGTTCTAATATATAGTTCTAAAGTAACATAAGTAGTATTGTATGAAATAAATATTATAATGTGTGAGAATATATGGCCATAGACGTATAGAGTCATTTGGTGTTAAACACTTTACAGAATATAATAGAATTTTAAGATATATGACATGTAAATGAAACTAACACGTTCTCCCAAGTCTCAGTTTTCACGCTGTAGTTACATATGATAGCTATATGAGTGAAATCCCAAACAATTTAGATATGCAACATATCAATGATCAAATCACACCTTCTGTTATCCAAACTTTATAAGTATCTTTCTTCACCCAATTTGTTTATTTTTAGTGTCAAAATATCAGAATGCAATTTGACACATTTCCCCGTATATTCGAGAGTAATACTTGTACATTATTAGTACTTATATATTATTCTGTGGATGCTTGAATTCAGGAATTTGAATATTTTTCTCATAACGCTCTTTCGATGTAAAATAAATGCATGTCACGTCTATTCCGGAATTTAAGTTTAAAAGCGTTCGTTTGAAAAATGAAAGCATTTGCATAGCACTGTTTAATGAGCGTTCATTCGATAACTGCTTTATGTCGCTTGATGATGATGCGAATATAATGGCCCGGGTCCTTTTTAAGATGAAACTAAAGATGTAAAGCTTGATAAATATTCGACTCAAGTAATGTTCTAAAAAAATCTTTTGTTTGTCTTTTTATTCAATATTAGAGACATATTCCGCTAAATTCGTATCATTTTCTGTTCATATATATACTGAACAAGAATATTTACGTCAACAGATCCAGGTTGAGGTATATATGTTTAAATAAGCGGTACAGTCTACATGGATGATATGTTAGATATCCTATTACCCATATTTTAACATGCATGTCGTCTCATATCACAGTGACACACAGCAGTGCAACTGCACTGTGTGTCCCGCTGCCTCACTATAGCGCTCACGGAGACTCTGAAATACGATTACCCAACAGTCTCTGAAATCCTTCGATTACGTACACATACCAGTGATTTTTCCATATCCCAGTCGTCCTGAATGAGCTTCGTCGATATTGACCGAGTCGAGTTACATTCACAGTTGTTTTCGACCAAAATTTGATCATTTTCCATATCCCAGTCGTCCTGAATGAGCTTCGGTATATATCGATATTGACCGAGAGAGAGTTAACATTGAAAATTCACACCAAAAGTTTTCGACCTAGTGGTAAAATTCGATCACCGAAGACCAGGTTCGATTCCACATGGGCACACTAGTGTGAAGCCTTTTCTGGTGTCCCCGCCGTGATATTGCTATTATTGCTAAAAGCGGCGTAAAACATTAAACTCAGTCAGTTCAACCAAAATTTGATCACTTTGCACATCCCACTACCCAACTAACGCACAACGTTTTCGCAACGTTGGGAATGATGAAGATAGGTAACGTCATTGCCACAACGTTAGTATAACGTTATTTTATAACGTTATGTCACAACGTAACACGCATTGCAAATTTACGTTGATGAAACGTTATGCTTTGGGCTCCTGACAACGTCATAACAACGTCTCATATAACGTGGTGTCAGGGAGTTCTCGGTAAAACTTTCCATGCAAATTGACGAATAAACATTGTGAGTTTCATCTTTGTTTCTCGTGTACTGTTCACTACTGGGAAAACTATTAAACTATCAACGTCAAATAGAACGTCAAGACAACGTGAAATACGTTAGTATCAAATAACGTATCCTTGAGGCGTAGTAAAAATGATGTATCACAACGTTGTGACAACGTAAATGGGAGTCCACAGAATAACGTAGTAACGAAAGCATGGCGTTGCGACAACGTTGTGACAACGTAAATGGGAGTCCGCAGAATAACGTTGTAACAACGAAAGCATAGCGTTGTGACAACGTTGTGACAACGTGAAATTGTTAGCTGGGTAGTCAGAAATGAGCTTCGTATATATCGATATCACCAGTGGTGTCTTCCTGTAGAGATTGCTCTTTTCATGTCAAACATGTGCGAAAGTAGAGTGACCTGTCAAAATGATATATCCTGTGGTCTTGTGATCCAGTGCTGATGTAACGTGTGAAATATAGATGTCCGATTCGCCTATTTTTGTCACGAAGTGGAATTAAATTAAATGCAGATATCTAGCATTTTTAGTGCATGGGACAACATTGCAGTCATGCCGCGAGGTTGTATGTGGAATATTTACACCAATCACCGGATGCAGCTCACGGACAGCATGTCGTATATCCGTCCATTCCCAGAAATGCAGCCCCTGATTCAAGTGCCGGACCTTAATAACCACGCAGCTGTCACGTAGATAGATATGATTGGCTCGACATGTTCTCAGTCAGATGCTCGTTGACAGCAATGTACACGTTCTACATAAGTATTTCTGTAACTACGCAATGTAAGTGAGTGAGTTTAGTTTTGCGCCGCTTTTAGCAATATTCCAGCAGTATCACGGCGGGAGACACCATAAATGGGCTTCACCCATTATACCCATGTGGGGAATCGAACCCGGGTCTTCGGTGTGACGAGCGAACGCTTTAACCACTAGGCTACCCCACCGCCCCTACTACGCAATGTACCTCCACTTGGTATGACGTACTTCTCTGCATAGTACTGCCCCAATGGCGTATACTACTTCTCTCATGGTGTACAATACTTCTCTGTTGGAGTCAAGTACTTTCCCAATGACATGAATTACTTACTTGATGGCGTATAGTACTTACGTAAAGGTGTATAGTACTTATCTAAAGGTGTATAGTACTTCCCACATGGGATATGTCACTTACCTACAGGTATATGGCACTGCCCTGACGGTTTGGCGGTATTTCTCCGTTGGAATATGATCCTTCCGTGATGGATTATAGTACTTCTGTGATGGAGTATGGTGCTTATGGAATAAAGAATGGTACGTCTGTAATGAACTATGGTACTTCTGTATTGAACTATGGTACTTCTGTAATGAACTATGGTACTTCTGTAATGGACTGTGGTACTTCTGTAATGGACTGTGATACTTCTGTAATGGACTGTGATACTTCTGTAATGGACTATGGTACTTCTGTAATGGACTATGGTACTTCTGTAATGAACTATGGTACTTCTGTAATGGACTGTGATACTTCTGTAATGAACTATGGTACTTCTGTAATGAACTATGGTACTTCTGTAATGGACTGTGGTACTTCTGTAATGGACTATGGTACTTCTGTAATGGACTGTGATACTTCTGTAATGGACTGTGATACTTCTGTAATGAACTATGGTACTTCTGTAATGGACAGTGGTACTTCTGTAGTGGAATCAGGTACTTCTGTAATGGACTGTGATACTTCTGTAATGGACTGTGATACTTCTGTAATGGACTGTGATACTTCTGTAATGAACTATGGTACTTCTGTAATGGACAGTGGTACTTCTGTAGTGGAATCAGGTACTTCTGTAATGGACTGTGGTACTTCTGTAATGGACTGTGATACTTCTGTAATGGACTGTGATACTTCTGTAATGGACTGTGGTACTTCTGTAATGGACTATGGTACTTCTGTAATGGACTGTGATACTTCTGTAATGGACTGTGATACTTCTGTAATGAACTATGGTACTTCTGTAATGGACAGTGGTACTTCTGTAATGGACTGTGGTACTTCTGTAATGGAGGTACTTCTGTAATGGACTGTGGTACTTCTGTAATGGACTGTGATACTTCTGTAATGGACTGTGGACAGTGGTACTTCTGTAATGGACTGTGGTACTTCTGTAATGGACTGTGATACTTCTGTGGTACTTCTGTAATGGACTGTGGTACTTCTGTAATGGAACTATGGTACTTCTGTAATGGACTGGTACTTCTGTAATGAACTATGGTACTTCTGTAATGGATGTACTTCTATGATACTTCTGTAATGATACTTCTGTAATGGATGGTACTTCTGTAAATGGACTGGTAATGGACTATGGTACTTCTGTAATGGACTGTGGTACTTCTGTAATGAACTATGGTACTTCTGTAATGGACTGTGGTACTTCTGTAATGAACTATGGTACTTCTGTAATGGACAGTGGTACTTCTGTAATGGACTGTGGTACTTTCTGTATCTGTAATGAACTATGGTACTTCTGTAATGGACTATGGTACTTCTGTAATAGACTGTGGTACCTCTGTAATGAACTATGGTACTTCTGTAATGGACTGTGGTACTTCTGTAATGGACTATGGTACCTCTGTAATGGACTATGGAATTGCTTGTACTACTTCCTTACTGGCATACAGTATTTCCCTAAAGGTGTACGGTACTTTTCAAATGGTGAGTGGTAGTTCCCTGTATTTTGTGGTTCTAAGTGCTGTAACGTCTTGGCTTACATACTTCCCTGTTTCTGAATAGCATTTCCATTATGACGTGTGGTGCTTCTCTAATGGCGTATGGTATTCCCCTTATGGTGTATAGTACTTCCTAATCTTACAGAGTACTTCCCTGAAGGCATACAGTACTTCCTTAATGTTACAGAGTATTTCCCTAAAGGCATATAGTACTTTCATACTGTCACAGTCCATTTCCCTAAAGGCATATAGTACTTCTATAATGTTACAGAGTATTTCCCTAAAGGCATATAGTACTTTCGTAATGTTACAGAGTATTTCCCTAAAGGCATATAGTACTTCCATAATGTTAGAGGGTACTTCCCTAAAGGCATATAGTACTTTCCTAATGTTACAGAGTTCTTCCCTAAAGGCGTGTAGTACTTCCCTAATGTTACAGAGTACTTACCTAAAGGCGTGTAGTACTTCCCTAATGTTACAGAGTACTTACCTAAAGGCGTGTAGTACTTTCCTAATGTTACAGGGTACTTCCCTCAAGGCGTGTAGTACTTCCCTAATGTTACAGAGTTCTTCCCAAAAGGCGTGTAGTACTTCCCTAATGTTACAGAGTTCTTCCCTAAAGGCGTGTAGTACTTCCCTAATGTTACAGAGTTCTTCCATAAAGGCGTGTAGTACTTCCCTAATGTTACAGAGTTCTTCCCTAAAGGCGTGTAGTACTTCCCTAATGTTACAGAGTTCTTCCCTAAAGGCGTGTAGTACTTCCCTAATGTTACAGAGTTCTTCCCTAAAGGCGTGTAGTACTTCCCTAATGTTACAGAGTTCTTCCCTAAAGGCGTGTAGTACTTCCCTAATGTTACAGAGTCCAAAGGCGTGTAGTACTTCACTAATGTTACAGAGCTCTTCCCTCAAGGCGTGTAGTACTTCCCTAATGTTACAGAGTTCTTCCCTAAAGGCGTGTAGTACTTCCCTAATGCTACAGAGTTCTTCCATAAAGGCGTGTAGTACTTCCCTAACGTTACAGAATTCTTCCCTAAAGGCGTGTAGTGCTTCCCTAATGTTACAGGGTACTTGCCGAAAGGCATATTGTGCTTTCCTTATGTTACAGAGTACTAGTACTTCCCAAAAGACGTGTAGTACTTGCCTAACAGTAAATAGTAATGATAAATAGTACTTCTCTGCTAGAATATAGTATTTCACTATAGGCGTGTAGTACTTCCCTAACAGTAAATAGTAATGATAAATAGTACTTCTCTGCTAGAATATAGTATTTCACTATAGGCGTGTAGTACTTCCCTAACAGTAAATAGTAATGATAAATAGTACTTCTCTGCTAGAATATAGTATTTCACTATAGGCGTGTAGTACTTCCCTAACAGTAAATAGTAATGATAAATGAGTACTTCTCTGCTAGAATATAGTATTTCACTATAGGCGTGTAGTACTTCCCTAACAGTAAATAGTAATGATAAATAGTACTTCTCTGCTAGAATATAGTATTTCACTATAGGCGTGTAGTACTTCCCTAACAGTAAATAGTAATGATAAATAGTACTTCTCTGCTAGAATAAAGTATTTCACTATAGGCGTGTAGTACTTCCCTAACAGTAAATAGTAATGATAAATAGTACTTCTCTGCTAGAATATAGTATTTCACTATAGGCGTGTAGTACTTCCCTAACAGTAAATAGTAATGATAAAAGTACTTCTCTGCTAGAATATAGTATTTAACTATAGGCGTGTAGTACTTCCCTAACAGTAAATAGTAATGATAAATAGTACTTCTCTGCTAGAATATAGTATTTCACTATAGGCGTGTAGTACTTCCCTAACAGTAAATAGTAATGATAAATAGTACTTCTCTGCTAGAATATAGTATTTCACTAAAGGCGTGTAGTACTTCCCTAACAGTAAATAGTAATGATAAATAGTACTTCTCTGCTAGAATATAGTATTTCACTATAGGCGTGTAGTACTTCCTAACAGTAAATAGTAATGATAAATAGTACTTCTCTGCTAGAATATAGTATTTCACTATAGGCGTGTAGTACTTCCTAACAGTAAATAGTAATGATAAATGGTACTTCTCTGCTAGAATATAGTATTTCACTATAGGCGTGTAGTACTTCCCTAACAGTGAAATGGTAATGATAAATAGTACTTCTCTGCTAGAATATAGTATTTCACTATAGGCGTGTAGTACTTCCCTAACAGTAAATAGTAATGATAAATAGTACTTCTCTGCTAGAATAAAGTATTTCACTATAGGCGTGTAGTACTTCCCTAACAGTAAATAGTAATGATAAATAGTACTTCTCTGCTAGAATATAGTATTTCACTATAGGCGTGTAGTAATTCCCTAACAGTAAATAGTAATGATAAATAGTACTTCTCTGCTAGAATATAGTATTTAACTATAGGCGTGTAGTACTACCCTAACAGTAAATAGTAATGATAAATAGTACTTCTCTGCTAGAATATAGTGTATTTCACTATAGGCGTGTAGTACTTCCCTAACAGTAAATAGTAATGATAAATAGTGCTTCTCTGCTAGAATATAGTATTTCACTAAAGGCGTGTAGTACTTCCCCAACAGTAAATAGTAATGATAAATAGTACTTCTCTGCTAGAATATAGTATTTCACTATAGGCGTGTAGTACTTCCCTAACAGTAAATAGTAATGATAAATAGTACTTCTCTGCTAGAATATAGTATTTCACTATAGGCGTGTAGTACTTCCCTAACAGTAAATAGTAATGATAAATAGTACTTCTCTGCTAGAATATAGTGTTCACTATAGGCGTGTAGTACTTCCCTAACAGTAAATAGTAATGATAAATAGTACTTCTCTGCTAGAATATAGTATTTCACTATAGGCGTGTAGTACTTCCCTAACAGTAAATAGTAATGATAAATAGTACTTCTCTGCTAGAATATAGTATTTCACTATAGGCGCATTTACACCTTGAAGTGACATATTGTATATTCGGCTCCTGGTGCACCTTCTCGGTAAAATGGCTTCATCTATTTCCGCGTGTATCAACAGTATTAACATTATATCTGTGCCGTTAGTCTAGGTAATACCACACCAGTCGGCTCATATGGGCTGTGTAGAGGGACATAAAATGAAGGAGTAATAGACTGGTCTGATTTCTAGGTGCAGCGTTACTGCCACAAGATCTTTCAAACACAATCACATAAATGTTAAATATATATAGTGGCATAAAGTTTTTCAACCATAGACATCAACATTTTATAGACAGGAAATTCATAGAAGTTCAGCCATGTTTATTTCGAAATCTCCGATTACGGCACACGACGCTCAGTTTAAAGGGACACTCATCCAGAGCGATTTCACGCTCATAATCCGTTCACTCCCAAAAGACAGACTTCCCAAAAGACAGACCACCCATAAGACAGACTCATTGAGTACACTAATTAGCTGAGCCATGCTGTCCATCCACCCCTATTTAATTAACGAGCTGACCTAGGGCCACTACAGAGTATAGTGACAACACACTCCTATCTCCTGTGCCCTTCTCAAAACATATTACTAATCCTTTTACTGAACAGAACAGAATAGAGCCGAAATTTTATTCTAAAAAATCACATATAGTGACGCAGAGAACATACAGCATATTGATACATATTAAAACATTGAACAAAGTCCAGTTTTGATAATTTTGGCAACTTTAGAGTTAAGTGGTGAATAATCACATTTCATTAGATAAACAATGTTTTCAATAGTAGGATATTTACAGAAATATTGGGGAAGAAATTGATTTCTGAGGACTTTCTTATAAGTGTTATCTGTGCACTGACAATTATGTGATGTAAAATAATATAGTGTTTGGTCTCAAATGTTTGATAGGTACGTATATAACATTTAAGTTATTGTTTTTGATAATATTCACAAGTAAATGTGATCTGGTAAATATATGTTGATGTACATATATGTTGATGTCTTAATTTAAAAATCACAATTCATTACAAGAATTGATTAAACAATAGTTAATACCTAATGTTGTCTTTTTTATCTGGGCACATACCATTATTATCATGGGTACAGCTTATTTAAGCCTTGTGCAGCCAACCATAAAATATGTTGTTTTAAGCGGTCTGTCTTTTGGGAGGTCTGTCTTATGGGAAGATATCCAAGCTGCAAGCTGGTCAGTCTCTGCTCCAGCGACCGTGGCGGACACGGGGACTGGGATACATTAGGAAGGGTGGATTGGATACCCATCAGATGCCGTTATTTGAAAATATCCCCGATAGTTCTTGTCTGATTGCAGTATCCCAGCAGTGTAGGCTTTTTTTCGGATTTTCTAATGCGTGGATGGTATAATGACTGATCCAATTTGAACCCATTTCTGTGTTTTTAACCTCGATATTTAATCACGTCATGTAAAAAAATGATGTATATTACCTATGAGATTAAAAACAGACATTTGATTTCTCAGAATCCATAAACTAAATAACCTTTCTTTGCCATTGCTTTAAAAAAATCTGAAAATGTACTTGGGTAAATAAGTGTTACAGCGATTACTACTCCCTTGCTGTAACCCGTGTTTGGTAGTATAAACCTGCACCTGTTTATTTGCCATTCACTTGATAGTCAATTATTGAATTTAAAACAGGTATAATTAGTAGTAAGGCCACTCAGATTACCCGACAAAGGTTCCCATTTAGCATTTATCGTGTCTTGAGTAAATACTCAACATGATAAATTAAGGTCTAATGTGTCACATGTATGACATGTTATGTAATATGCGCTTGGAAGTGCAACAAGAAGAATTATCACCTGAGTTAAAAAAAGCAAACATCGATCAAAGGATTATTAACCGATAGCGCGCTTATTGATTAATTACTTTTATCTTGCACAGCAGATTTGTCAAAAAGTAGTTTTTATGAATGTAGATTTACTAACGTACATTGAATATACCCACATTCTGTCGTAAAGTGCCTGTGTAAAAATTACGTCCTTCATGCAAAGGATTAGCCGCCATTACGGTGACTGCTCATTTGTTGGCTAACTAAATTACATTTTTAAAGAATGGTGGACATCATGCAAGTAGTTGTCAGGTGGATATTTTGGGTGCCCAATGAGACTATACACCGATGTGAAAAACATGAAACAGTCACGTGACCAGTTGAGAAACTAGTTATGACGTTATGTCAACTTTTCGCTTATAAGACCGTTAAAAGACATATGTAATGGAACATGATTCTTTGTCAGCTGCAGATGAAAGGTATATCGTTCCTTTAGAGAGACAGAGAGAGAGACTTTATTCAGTATTGGAGGCCGTACAGATACAAAGTTGTTGTAAAGGGGTGGGGGTGGGGGTGGGTTTGAAGCCCAAATCCGCCATTTTGCTTTTATGACTTAACATAGGTGTGATTACCCGACAAAGGGTTCCCATTTAGCATTTATCGTGTCTTGAGTAAATACTCAGATAAATTGAGGTCCTAATGTGTCACATGTATGACATGTTATGAAAGTAATTCATACATGTTCGCAAATATGGATACAAATGTACATTTAGTGTTGGAGGTCGCCTACAAACATACATGTTTCTTTTCAAGTAAATGGCTAAACCTTTGTGAAAGACATGAGTTGAACAAACTTTTGCTGTGTTGGATAATGACGAAAAACATTTGGTATGAGTTTTGTTCGATTTTCTTTATAGAAAAGACAAACTAGAACCAAATGGAACTCATCTTCAATAGCTCCTAAATTACAGCGCTCACATAATAAATCAGAATGAGCAGTATATTTATTAAAACGCACTTTTTGAATTTTCAGACTATGTGACAGACATCTAAACTTTGCAAGTGCTTTAGTCAAATCTCTATCAATATCAGTACTTAAATACTTTTCTTGTTCAAAACCATTTTTTTAAGAAGAATACGTTTTGAAGAATGAAGATGACTCAACTTTCCCATACCAAGATTGAATAAGACATGTCTGTTTAAACAAAGTGGATCCTTTATGTGGATATTGATGGATACATTCCCCGAACAAGGTAATAGCCTGATATTGTTGCTATAACTTTAGTCTGTTTTAATTGGGTCGCTCTTAGGCGTGTGTGTGTCATATATAATTCACGTTGGCAATCTATAAAATGTCTAGACATTACAGTCATGTTATAAATTCACTATAAACAGATAGGGTACTTTTTATTAAGTTTCAAAATGCATGCATATATAATAATAAACTAAATAGGATTATAAGACAAAATGTAAAAACGTACATTGAGATGGTTATTTTATAACATTTATACCACTGGCGGATGAAGTCAGACTTCAAAATGTTTTCATTTGTTATCATAATAATGAAGATGGAAATATTAATGAGTAAAAACGTTTTCATCTTAGTTGATCAATGTATACTTATACTGACGTTCTTGAGAGGCATACTTATACTAACAATTGCGCTTGCGGGTGGCGCAGAAGAGATCGCAAACCAGTCAAGAATTTCTACGTACTCACGGGACACGGGAGAAAAACAATAACAAAAGCAACAACCAGTCCACGGAAATTGCTCTTAATCAGTGTCCCTTTAACAGCTGCGGGTTCAGGGAAACAGATGACTGTCGACATGGCTGCTTTCTTCCGAAAAGAATAATATACTTCAAAAGAAAATTTTGTTTGTGCGCCACATATAAAATATTAAATATTATTGGCAGTCAATATAAAAGGGACCCGTGAAGATCCGAGTTAGAATGGAACCTATGCTTGTTGTAAGGGGTGACTAACGGGTTCGGGTGGTCATTTTCTGATATTGGTGGGTGTGGCGTTAAACAAACCAATCAGTCAAACCAATCTCGTTGTGACAGAGATTTTGGTTCGGCAATTATTTTCTCATAGTTTTCCTATCACTACAAATATATCATGAATTAAAAGTCTATTTAAAGTATGACCCCTAGGGAGTTGAGAGTGATATTACGATGTGCTGTTGAGATTGACATATAGTGAGCGAGGAAAAAAAACAGCACCTTGAGCATGTACTAGCTGCGTGGATATGTGCGCTATATAAATATCCTATAATAAATGGTGATGATGATGATAATAATAATAAAGTTTTCCTTCAGTTTGATAATATTTTATGCATCTTTCTATTTTGAAAAATTAGAATAACAATTCTAAAACTGATCTAAATCTCCACACTAAAATATAAAGTCACGAAATTTTAGACATGGAAGTCTCAAAAAGGAGACAACTTTGTGACTAAGAGCCAAGAATAGTTCTGAAGTTGAGACAGTGATGATAATCCGTTTCTTCGAGATCAGCATTTCGTCACCGATCCTCCCCCAGCCTCACACCCTACCGAGAGTCGCCAACAGCGTGCAGCTGCACACGGAGGCAGTAGCTCTGCGCCAACTGTGCATTGAGGTTGTGCATTACTGGTGGCGGGAGGTGCAGACTCAGTACAACGAGCAGACGTACGGGTCAAATTACTCCGTGTCGACGTTATTATGCTCGGCTTTACACCGAATCAACTGATAATGCTTAGCAGGACTGTAATAAGCCCAGAAGTTCACAGTTACACGCGCTGAGGTCACGTGACCATAGTGCGAGCACTATAGGGCCGAAGTCATGGCAACCAGTTTTGACGATTAATTTTTGCATCTTTCAGACGATGTGCTAATGTTGTCTATTTTTAGGGTATAGCTCGTCTGCGAACAGCCAGCTCGAGTAGCAAGCAGCTCGCGCAGTCCTCGTGCTCGAGCAGACGATAGATAGGTCGGTCGGAGTGGTAGACGGTAGGCCACGGACTGTGTTGTCGAAGGAATGCGACAGACGGTCAGCAGTCGAGCTGGACACACGGACGTACGAGTCGAGAGTCTGTGGGCAGGCGAGACGGACGGTTATAGGTGAGTACGGGTCGAACCGACGCGGTGATCAAGTGTACAGATTGTTGAGGAAGTTTTCAAGTGTTCGCGTGTATCGGATGCCCCTAAACTTGTACGACATAGAGTGGATATAACTTTGGCTGTTTAGTGGGTTGGCAAACCTCAATGACGTCACGCAGTGTGTCTGGAAGGGGTGTTTTGGAGGGGGGATGGGGTGGGGTGGACGGAGAGGAGAGTTTAAAAAGTCCAAAGTTTGACACTTTTGAAGTCGTCCTACGTCACCGTTCATTGGATAATGCGATCTCGTTCGAGGTTATTGCTACCGGTATGAGACGAAAAAAATACGACGGTTCCTATAAAAAACAATACGCAGTTATTTTGAGATTTCACTGAATTAGAACAAGTACAACCTCATTTGAAGTTTTCTTTATCTGCGGTTAACAGCTCGACTTTTAAATATTTTAATTTATGTATGGCTTGACTGGAGGCGCGAGTTACCTTGGGGCAACAGATTAAAAATAAGTCAAGCATGGTCTTCTATGCCTTATGTCATTCCAAATATGACATCATAACTGGTTCAAACTTATTTGTCAAATAAATATGTACATTATTTTCCGTCAATATAATTTATAAAAATAAAAAAATTAAAATCATATTACACCATGACACTAAAAGTAATGAATTAAAAATAATCACTGAGTCCCTAATGTATCCTAAACGAGAGTTATCACTGTCAGACAAAATGTAAATTATTTAAAAAATAAATAAATAAATAGATATCCACGTGATGCTGAATAGGAGCTGTAATCTTGTGAGAATTTATATTTTTCCTGAATAGTACCAGCATATACATATTATATGTCGCTGATGTGAAATATGTAGCTGAAGCGTCTAGCTTGATGTCAGCATGGTGTCAGACTTTGATGCATGGCCCCAATAAAACCAGTGACCGCATGTATCACAGTGGGATATTGGATTTTATGGCGTTTTAAGCTGAGGTATTAGTTTCATTATGCACACATATGTTTAATAGCAACCTACATATTTATATAAAGGTAAATGTTCAAAAGAAGCAACAAATTTGGCTGCTATATAGTAAAACAGTATACCTATATTGTAAGACGCCACATTTCCTATGCTGTTAGACACAATACCTATGTTGTAAGACATTATACCCATATTGTAAGACACTATACCTATATTGTAAGACACTATACCCATATTGTAAGACACTATACCTATATTGTAAGGCACTATACCTATATTGTAAGACAATACCTATACTGTAAAACAGTATACCTATATTGTAAGACGCCACATAACCTATGTTGTTAGACACAATACCTATGTTGTAAGACATCATACCCATATTGTAAGACACTATACCTATATTGTAAGACACTATACCCATATTGTAAGGCACTATACCTATATTGTAAGGCACTATACCTATATTGTGAGACGCTATACCCTTATTGTAAGGCACTATACTAATATTGTAAGGCACTCTGCCCATATTGTAAGGCACTATACCCATATTGTAAGGCGCTATACCTATATTGTAAGACGCTATACCCTTATTGTAAGACACTATACCTATATTGTAAGGCACTATACCTATGTTGTAAGACACTATACCTATATTGTAAGGCACTATACCTATGATGTAAGACACTATACCAATGTTGTAAGACATCATACCTATATTGTAAGACACTATACCTATATTGTAAGGCACTCTACCCTTATTGTAAGACGCTATACCTATATTGTAAGGCACTCTACCCTTATTGTAAGACACTCTACCCTTATTGTAAGACACTGTAACCTTATTGTAAGGAAAAGCAATTTCCCCAACAGATCAATACTAGTTGATCCCACTTACTCCTGATATCCTAGGGCATGAGTTCAGAGGCCATGTACCCTCATGAAACTACCAAAACTAGAAAGGTAACAGACAGTCCTATCTAAGATTCTTCTATCTAATCTGAAAGGAAAACAGCATCATGCACAGTTGTGTTTCCCCTTATCGCTAAATGTGATCGACTGTCAAGTGTATTCATGTAAGCGAAAGTGTAATCCGTTAGTTAAAATACGTTGATTTATACGTCAGTATGAGGACGCGAGAGACAGCAGAGCTACACTCTAAATTTATTTGGTGAATAAGTAAATAAATAATTAAGTTGAGGTATACGTCAGTAGGAGGAAGCGAGAGACAACAGAGCAACACTCTAATTACTTAGAGGAGGGTAATAAATAAATAAATAAATAAATAAATAAATAAATAAAAAATAAATAAATAAATAAATAAATAAATAAATAAATAAATCAGTTGATGTATACGTCAGTAGGAGGAGCGAGAGACACCAGAGCTACACTCTAATCACTTAGAGGAGGGTATGTCATAAGTAAATAAATAAATAAATAAATAAATAAAAATCTGTTTATTTGTACGTCAGTCAGTCTAATCACTTAGAGGAGAGTATTTAATAAATAAATGAATAGATGAATAAATAAATAAATATCCCGCAGTCCTGGTTATACATTGGCTTCGTGGAAAGCTGCACAAGGCTGTAATATTCACGGTTTTTGAATGTTTTTTTTATGTTGTGACCCTGATATGAATTGATTCCAGTAAAGGTGCTAAATATACACAACATTAGTACCTGTGACCGATAACCCACAACTTAATAAGTGTGTCCGAAAGACCAGAACTTAGTACGGGTAGCACTTGGCCATGGTGTATGTTGATATAAGTGTTTATGATTATTGTTACTATGTCTTGACGCCTGTTCGTGCAGACCTGCCACGTATGAGTGTTACGAGTGAACATAGAGGTTGGTCGAACCACTCGAAACAATGTCTTATATTTCTCGTGGGGTTTGAATGTAAACTGCATTGAATGGCCTATGCCTCCGAAAGGAGAAAAGAAACTTCAGCTTGAAATTGTATCTTCCTCGCTAGTTTTAGAAGGACGAGGTGACATAATCTGTTGATAGTTACGGCAGTACATTTGTAGTCCGAATTTAAGTCAGTCCCATGATTAAAATTATCATGTTTAAAAATAGATATATAAAAATTGAAATCTAAACGAAGTGGATCACAGTGCGGGGGCTAGACTTGCAAAATCATGCCGGATTTGAGAAGGGTTCATGTTTAGGTTATCTTCCAGTGTCTGGGTGTATATTTCCGATCTTAAATAGTTTCAGGCTGGTCTGAATCCGCATGGGCCCACTGGTCACTTATCTACATAACTGTTTTAAGTGTGGATGTGAAAGCCTCTATGGTGTATATGCTGATCCATGACCTACTGACTGGGGTCAAGTACTGTAGACCGATACTTTTAAAGTGTGTACGCCATTTCTTTTTCTAGTCTACTGACCCGGGGCGGTATGTTGTCTTAAAGATGTCTTCCAGCAACTGTTTCTGTCCGATAATGACCTTTAGTCATGGCAACCCAATACAGAACTCTTAAAGTCTAGGAGAATGGTTATTTGAGGGTCAACGTCTCTGCCATGTTGGTAGGTCAATATATGTAATGGTGATCTGAACGGCGTTAAGACACAGTTCAAATGGGCTACATATATGTACACAAGTTCTGAGTGGCCCCTGTCCACATACATGTAGTCCTTCTGTAAGTCAGTACTATGTACAGACACACACTCACTCACAGTCACCCTTTACACACAGTGACCTACTGTACAGACACACCAGCACTCCCCTGTACACACACAGACCCACTGTACACACCCTTCTCACACACACCCTACACACACACCCCTGTACACACAGACCTGTACACACACACACACCCTCACACCCCCTGTACACACATATCACATCCTGTACACACACACCTCACTGTTCACCCGTACATACAGACCCACTGTACACACACACACACTTCTCACACCCTGTACACACACACCTCACACCCCTGTACACACTCAGACCCCCCTGTACACACACACACCTCACACCCTCACTGTACACACACTCAGTCTCACTGTACACACACACCCTCACACCCTGTACACACACACACATCACACCTCTGTTCACTCAGACCTCCACTGTACACACACACTCACACCTCTGTTCACACACCTCACACCCTGTACACACACACTTCCTCACACCTCTGTTCACACACACCTCACACCCCTGTACACACCTCACACCCCTGTACACACACCCCTCTTACTCCTGTACACACACACCCTCTTACTCCTGTACACACACCCACCTCACTCCGTCCCCTGTACACACACCCCCTCTTACTCCTGTACACACATCCACCTCACTCCTGTACACACACACACCTCACACCCCCTGTACACACACACCTTTCACCTCTGTATACACACACACCTCACACCCTGTACACCACTGTACATACACACACACACCCCTTTCAACCTTGTACACACACCCCTGTACACACTCCCACCTCACACCCCTGTACATACACCTCATACCCCTGTACACATACCTCATACCCCTGTACACATACACCTGTACACACACACCCTCACACCCCTGTATACA